GAAAATGTTCTTGTTTAAATGCTTGATTTCCTTGTTCACGAAGTTCTCCTGCATTATTCAATGTTGTAGTCATAGTTTATCTGAAAAGAGAAAAACAAATTAGACGTTGATTTTGTTTTTTTGAAAAATAAATAAACAAAAAAAAAAATTTTGATGATAGTAAAATATCGATTAACTACGATTATAACGATTTCCACTACCACGTGGATTATCATCTTTATATTCATCCATTAGATGAATATTTTGTCGATGTATTGGATCATCGATTTCATTTAAATGTTCTTCAGATAATGGAACTGGTTTTGGAGGTGGAACTTAAATAATAAAATCGAAAATTTAAAAAAAAATATATAAATAATCAATATTACCTGGTTGTTGAGATTGTCTTTTAGTAAGATCATCGTAAAATTCTTGTATAGTCATCGTTGGTAAACTAGATGAGACAAAAGATTAAACATTAATGATAAGTAATGAGAATAATATTTGTTCGATAAATATATCAAATTCGTATAACATACGATGCAAAAGTCTTAGCAAAAATGTCAATCTATGTTAGATCATATTGCTGGCTTCTAAACTACTCAATTTTTTGTTGTTGTTGGAAAGAGTAAAGTCTGAACTACAAATTTTGTACTAGACTTGTTTTTCTTGAACGAATCTACGAAGCAAGAGAATCTAAAAGTTAAACACCTCTTTAAAAGTTTTTGCAGCTTGAAAAGTTTCTATTTCTCAATTATCTTGAGCTACATAGATCGAATCCAGAAACTATATATGAATTGAAACCTTTGTATATTATTTGTTTGAGTGATTTAGAAGCTGGCATTATGATCTAACATATGTTGATATTTTTGGCAAGACATTTACATCATATGTTATATATCAAAGGTCATACATAGAATGTTGTGAAAGCCAATAAATTAAGCACGGAAATTTGCGTAGAAAAAAATAATTAACATGAATAATCAGTCTTATAGATGAATAATATTCAAGTATGGCTAAGTAGGATCAAATCCTAAGATTTAATAGAAAAAATTAATAGTAAA